AACAGGAATAATCTGTATCGCGTGCCTTTGAATATTGCTTCTTAGAATACTGTACCGGTGTAGTATGGGAGACATTGGTGGAGGAATACAGGCACACAGAATGCTGCTCTGCCAGCAAATGTGTACACCTGTTCTTGCAGCTATTGACTAAGGAAGTCTGAATTTGATCCACACCCCTCATTATCCATTTCTTTTTTTAGATTATATAATTATCACAATCACAGATACAAAGAAACCAGCATAAATATACAATCAAAAATTGTTTGAAAATATAGTGCAGACTTGTAATCAGTAATGTTAAGGTCTGAGATCTCATATTTAACCTTTTTTATATAGCTTTAGTGGTAGAAGTACAAAGTATGCAATTACTTGACCTATGGGGTATAAATCAGCATAATAAACTACTCAGATTAATCAAAGAAAACAGCATGATATTTCATTAATAAGCTATATACTTATTGTAAGCACCTACAGTTCAAGGAAAAATACATTAATCGAAAAAGAGGGAGCTACAGCATCATCCAGAGAGAACATATTTAGAAAAATAGAAGTATTTTTAAATATTACACAGTGAAAAGACAATTCACTGTCCTAGTCTTGAGTGTCTGCCTGTCTGAAATCAGTCAATTAGAACTCTCTACAGTGCCTTAAAAATTACATTTTACACTTAAGCCAAAGACCTTCTCAGCAGCAAATGTCACTGACTGCCAGACCATTCTGAAACCCTACCCTATGAACACTTCTAACACTGTTAACGTATTAGAGAAACCAGGTGGGATCAACACGGCTACAACAACACTGCAAACTATTAGCCTATGACCTACCAAGCTGATTTAAAAGTGGGGGAAAAAAATTGGGACAGGATACAGTTGTAATAGGAGCAAAGCCATTGAAATTCCTTGTGCTTACACATAGCCCTTGATTCCACTTCACTGTTTCTTTAGTACATGGGAACCCTGATAAACAGGGCTATTTTCAGTGGAACAAGATTATGATAGTATGGACCTTGAAATGTCTCTTAAACAAAGCATACTGCACCTGGGAGAAGACAAAAGGCTGGGTCGTAACCAGAAAATCTCAGTTTTAATGTTCCTTACTCACCCAAAGAGTAGATCTTTACATTAATAAAATAAGCACATAAATATGTAAAAGTCTTTGTTTTGTTTATAAACTGCAACACTGGTTAAAATCTGTCAACATTTTTATTATGAATTCTTGTTTCCAGGGTCTTTAAACTTGGCCATAAAAATGTAGTCCCAGATGAAACTTAACATATTAGGTTACAGGTTTTTTTAAAAAGCTCCAATTTTTTAAGGCTATCAAGGTGTAAAAGGAACCAGAAGTGTGTTGTTGAAGATGATTATTTGCTTTTTCTAGACAGGAAAAATAGCTGTCTTATTTATTTTTCAAACTTATGGGTGATTAATAAATCGTGAGTTGGAAACACTGTTTTGGCTAATTTAAATAAACCAAAACTATGTAGGTCTTTCATTGGAAATATATGTAAATATATGTTACCCCTTAAAATTGCTTATGTAGTTACTGTGCATTGGCTCAACTCTAATGGCCCCACAGGAGCAGATTCTTGGGTGAATGATCTACAAATTTAAAAATATTTATGTTGGCCCTGACCAGACAAACTGAAATGGAACCATATAATCCATATTTTTAAAAGTTTCTAATTATGTATCTACCTACTCCAGTCAACATTATGAAAAGCCAACTTCCTAGTTACGTAGTTACTCACTCCAGAATGACACCACAGGAAACTCAGTCACAAAAGTATATACTTAAATCATGATCAAAGGCCTTACCTAACTGCTCAAAAGCAACTATCTGGGCCTAGCTCACACTGCTCTGCCATTTCTTTCTTTCTTTCTTTCTTTCTTTCTTTCTTTCTCACAAAAAGGGGGTGAGTTGAGGCTGAATAGTTATCTGGATTTTCAGCCTTAACTGAATTTCCTTGTTTTTGGGATGTTAGGTCAGGTCGTTAACATTATAGGCTTGGTACTTGCACAAAGTAATCTTTCAACTTGAAACATGTGTGATGTGGTAGCTGCTCTTCTCCCCCCACCAGCTTTTGTCGGTGAACTGGTATGGTTAGATCTTTCAAATGAACAGGTGTACTTTCTCCCTTCTTGTGATATGAAAGAAGCATAAAACTCGATTACAGCAATTTATGATCTCCTAACTTGCATGGACTTGTATCCATGACACAAGCAGCTTTATGTTCAAATTCAAGACCTGATAAAATGGGAAGTTAAAATTAACCTCAAGCCCTTTATAGATGAAAACCTCAACAAATAAACAGTGGTTTAGTGGCATGGCAATCTGCCCCTTTAAATCTATGAACTAGCCCAAGATGTCTATTTTGAGTTAGGGTTTAAAAAAAAAAAACAAAAAAAAACCAAACAGATTCTGATGAACAGAGGAGTAGCCTGTGATTCATACTGGGGTAAGTTAAAGCAAAGTTTACCACCACCAATTAAAAGCCTGCACTGTACATTTTTCTTGCCTCCTGTCTATAAAAAGTCTAATGCTCTCTTCATTCAATAGGTGGTTACACAAAGTATCTGAAGCTGCAAATATTTATACATCAGCGGAGTAATAATATGGAAAATGTCAGAAATATTTCATTTCTGTTAGGCTATATTCTGCAAGTTAATGATGTTATTTAAAAAAAAAACCCACCTTCAAAACCCTGTGCTCCTTAAGTGTAACATAGAAGCTCAATCTGGAAATCAGACATTCTTCAGATCTTGAGAAATATATCAAAGCTCTGATTCTCATTTACATTAAAGCCTCTTTACACTGTGGGAGAGCATGGTCTCAAAATGGGTGTAAAATAAAACGGGGTCTTTGCATAAATAGCCCTACATTTTGACCGAAAGAGGCTTTAGCCTTAGCCTTATTTTCCTGTTAGTGGCTACAAGTCTCACCAAGCTGTTCAAATTTTGGTCAGGCTAATGTGCAATTTTCATGGAGGGGGAAAAAAACAACTAAACTGGTGATTTAGCATGAGAATATCAATGAGGAAACATTAGCAGTTCAATTGCTATCATTTTCTGACCTACCCCTATAAATTCACAGGCTAAATGTATCAAAATTATATTTTAAGAAGCAAAGCAATATACTAAATACATTTCCGGAAGTAGCAGCTGAATCCCTAGAGGAGTGTGAAAGAGTTATATTGCTCTGAAGTTGTACTACTGAAGAGGTCTAAAACAGAACAAGAAAAGAGGGATAGTTGATGTTAAACCTGATACTCTGCTACGCATATAGTGTTCCAAAGTAGTTGAAGAATGCAAGTCTGCTACTAATACCTCCACCCATGTAGCCATAATAATACATTCATTTTCTTTGATAGCAATATATCTGAAGGCAGAAGAAATCAAACTTACTTTGTTCTCCAAATCAGACTCTCAGCAAGGTGACTGCCAAAAGTCTTTAGAGATGTAAGACCAGATCCTCTGCTGGTGTAAATTGGAGCAGCTCCAGGAAGGGCCTATGTGCTCCTTGAACTTTTCTGCATACTTTTTTTTTTTTTTTGCAATGCAATTCACGATAGCATGTTGATTTAATTCAACAACTCACTTACTTCTCAGTAGCGGCCAGACCCAGACCCTGTACGCACTGAAGTCAATGGGAGGTTTGCAAGTGACTTCAATGGCCCCACGATCAGGCCCGAGAAGATAAGGATATATAACGAACACTTTAGTTACAGAAGTAATACGCTTTTCTACAAGTAGTGCAAAGAGTGCTGCACGCTAACCCAGATTTTAAAAAATAGAACACTGAAGAAAAACTATTGATTCAAAACCACTATAACTAGTTCTATTCAGAACACCAGGGGAGAAGCTTGATCAAATCTATTTCATTCTGACTGGAAGGACAAAGTTTAATTCCATCAAGCAACAGCATTTGCTAAGATAAATATGGTCATTTACCTTAATTTTAGATGTGCTTAATTATACATCTGCATTTTTGACAATCTTGTAAAATATACAGGAGTCATCTGATTCAATGCCAACTGAATTTCACCTGATTTAATGGATGCAAAGTAAGATTTCAGAAAATTATCCAAGACTGGGTTGCTTGATTTCATTCATATTATCTGGACTTGAATCACAAATGAAGTCAACATTTTGAGTCCCCTCTTAGAGGTTTTAATTAAAATAAAAGCTATAGAATATCCTTATATCACAAATGTTTGCTCTTACTAGCAGTGCAAGTACTTAGTTCTAGACTGGTCTTCTCTGCTGAACAATGGGCTCAGAGCTTTTGTGTGTAAATGGTTTCTTAGGAAAACTACTGCAAGTTGCTGACAGTGTGTCTCCTTCACAAATGCATATAATTCGCTGACTAAATATTCATCAGGGAATACAGCTACATATACAAAAAAATCCAAGAGTACAGCATCTTTTTTTTTAAGAAGGCTTGAAGAATTACAGTCCCAAGACATCTGAGGATAACACCATGAACTCTACTGTCCAAGTGAAAGTTGTTACAGAAGATGCACGTTAAAAAGGTGCTAGACTTTAAAAAAACATATGGTCACTTGTTAGAAAAAACCCCCACAGCTGAATGCTGCAAGGTAAGCGAAGAAAATCTGTTCTATGTGCCTTTCTCACCCCATCTTCCTCCCACTGTGTTTTATCAAAACGTCACAAGTGACCTCTGGAAATGGAATTGCCATTAGAGAGACAAGGTGGGGGAGGTAACATCTTTCATGGATCAACTTCTGTTGGTGAGCGGGACAAGCTTTAGAACTACACAGAGCTCCTCCTCAGGTCCCGAAGAACTGCTTTTCATGTAGGCCACCCTACCATCACAGCTGTTGTGCTGTCTTCCATGCATCTCCTGGTTACCAAAACAACATGGAAGTTATTTGTGGCAGGGGGAAAAGCAACCTGAAGGGCCATCTAGTACTGCAGACTATGTTAAGACTTTGATGACCAACAGCGGTTCCTTCACTTTAGGGGAGGGTTTCAGGTACTTACCCTGAATCTGACTCTGAGGCTGAGGGTTAAAAGCAGTGGTGTGGCTCAAGGAAGCTCGTGGGTTAGGTGTGGGGGCTGGGTGATGTGGGCTGACCCTCATGGCTGTGCGACGCAACTGCTCCAGTTCACTCAGACGCTCTGAAAAGGACAAGCTCCCGGGCTTTGTCTGTTCATCTAGTTTCTGACGATGTCCTAGTGTGGGAGGGGGGGAAAAAGATCAGAAAATCTCACTGACATATGCCTTTTTTTTCCTCAATCCATTGGCAATGTACCTAACTGGCTAGTGGCCATCTGAAATTCAGCAAAGACTGTTTGCTCTGTATTAACAGGAGACACAATCAAGTCATGCACAGTAATGATATCACAAAGCGGTGTAACTCTTATGAGGTATGGACTACTCAAAAAAAAAATCCACTAGAAGTCACAGCACCCTATTATCCCTATTACTGTGTATAAAAAAGGCGCATTTGGTGGGGTGAGGGCCTTTCAAATACATATTTTCAGCTTCTGTCACCTAAACCTGCACTGAAGTAGCTCCTCAAGCATTCAAACCCAGATTGTCATAATTCACTGCAATTAGACAAGGAATGATACTACAGAAATAAAACCCCAACCCCAAACAAATAATGTTCTCGGATGCTTTAGGAACTGCTCTTTACAAATGAACAGGAAAGGAATACAAGACACCGTGTTTAACAAATGGAAACTATAGGGAAACAAAGTGTCTTTTACTAATATCGGGCGTTTCCAAAACATTGAAAGGTTGGACTGTCCCGTCCCCTGCTGTGCCCTGAAGAACATCTTGCGAGATAATGCTGATGTACTCGTTGCTATCTTAAGTGGTGTATGCCAGTGCACAGTGAACTCAGCTGCCATCCCACGAGAGTTTCAGGGCCAGTGGCCATGGGGGAAGCCCTGGTAAGCCCTGCTCCAGCCTCCTGGTAAAACTTTGTTGGGTTGGTGGTGGTGGTGGGAGGGTGAGGTCTGGAGTATGTGAGCATGGGGGACAGCCTTTGGAGAAAGCAGAAAGCAGTGGAAATGCACAGATCCAGCACAGAATTTCCAAGGTCTATTGGTTCAGGGGATGAAAGCCCTGTCCAGATGCACAAGGGCACCATGAAAGGACAACTCTGAGTCATCTCTTTCCTGCCTCCTGGGGGTGGAAAGGAGTTCGCTAATTGCCTAAAAGTTTACATATTGTCACCACTTTCCATCCCATTTGTGTCCCCTTGCTTCCAGTTCTATATGATTAAGCTCACTATCAAAGTATCTCATCATTAGAGCCTGACACCATGTTGCTGAATGCAAATGAAAGATTCTAAATGTAAACATACAGCTACCAGTGTTGCACCTGAGACCTATCACCAAACGAACAGAGAGTGCTCTCTGAAAAGTTCTGTCTGTCCCCTACAGTACAAAGCACTCTTTCACAGAGCTGTAACAACACTTTAATCGAGACATAGGCACTTCTTTTTTCATTCTAGGGGGGAAATGTACATTTAAAAGCAGTTCCCAGTAGCTACAATTCGAAAATTAAATTCTATAACTCGCATTATGGTTCCAAATCTCACTGGCTCAGTTTTCTTCCTCCGACCAGACCCTTTGGTGCAGCTTGCACTTTCTCAGATTCCACACTGCACTATAAATTATCCCAGGGAAAAAAATTAAAAAGACACAGTATAAAGTCGTGATTTTATCATTAAGAAGGCTTTAAGGGGAAAAAAAAGAGACTTTCATCCAGCACTTTAGTAGTTCAAACACAACTTTCTTTCATTTGTCAGCAATGCAAATCTGGATTCTGATTCAAATCCTTAGCTTATGGCACTTGACTTGAATGCAAACACACTGAGTCACGCAAGCTGTGTACATATGTAAAATGTCTCGTACATTCTGATTATATTAAACATGAGCCTGCTGGATTGAAGGCCCCTGGGCCAGGATTCAGAGTAACCCCTAGCAAGTCTATTGACGTAATATATGTTATTCTCAAATCAATCAATTTATGCTTTTAATTTAGTGCTCTGTGTAATGTTTTACCCCCTTAGCTTCCCTCCTTCTTCTCTGTCAGGTGCTGCTCTCATGGCATCACATATTATTCCTGTGGCATGGAAATTAAGGGCTTGTCTGTACAACCCCTAGATATACTGGTGGCACTCGAGTAACCCCACTGAAGTCAGTGGGATGAGGGCTGGACAAAAGCTGGTGAGATGAGAGCTCCCCTTCCTGTTTCAATTTACTTTAAGCACTGTGAGAGTGCACCTGCTCCAGTACCCAGGATTCTTTCAACCAGTTTACAAAATCCTCTCTCTAAGGCCAGCTCTACACTTAAAAATTAGCTTTCACCTTGCTACATCACTCCAGGCTGTGAAAAAATTGTGTGCCTCGTGCAATGTAATACCCTCCACCTAACCACCCGTGTAGACACGGCTAGGTCGACAGAAGAATTCTTCCATTGGCCTAGCACCTCTCTGAGCGGGGCGTTAACAACATCAGGCCTTTCCATCAATGTAGGAGGCAAAGTGTCAACGTGCGATAACGGCACAGCTACATGTGCCCTACGTGACCAGCGCAGTTCAGTGCGAAAGCCTGGCAGCGGGAATCTCTGTGGCGAGAGCAAGGGATTGGAGGGGGAGGATTCGAACCAGGACTTTTAAGATTCCACTGATGTAAATGTTACTTAGAAGAATTACAGGATCCCCCTGGCTGCGTCTTGAGGAAACAGTCATTTGTTTTGTGTGGCAGCTTTGTGATGGGAGCTACTGAGACATATCACTGGAAATGTCATTTCAAGTAAGTGCCACTTACTGCAAAAGCGAGTGGTTGTTTTTTAACCAACCGAGCTACGCAGCCTTTTTCTGCGAGATGACGCTGGCAGGCAGCAACAGAAGAAGTTTAACGTCACAAGCGTCTGCGCAGCGTCAACGTGCAGTATCGGAAAAATGTAACTAATATAAATGGCTTCCCCAGGCTACAAAAATGCATGGGCTGAGTATTCCCAGAGCAACGTATTTATTTATTGGCTTTACTCGGAGCAGTCTGCAAACGTTGGTGAATGTATCCTCATGTCAGCCTTGTGAGGGAGGGATTTATTACTATCCCCATTTTATAGGTGGGGGAATTGAGTCACAGAAAGAAAAATTGACTTGCCCACAATAACAGAGTGAGTGGCAGACTCCTGACGCCTAATTTAGTGCTTAATCACAAAACCATCCTTCCTCTGTATGTGAGGATGGCGAATGATGGAACAGGTATTCATTCACAATGCAGTCCTCTCACACTTTATAGCCCATGAAAATAGTGACAGTATTGAGTTTAAAGGGAACAAAGGGAACCAGTCACAGCAGAGAGGCAGAGAGAAAATAACAGAGAGGTAATAATATTAAGGGTGAACATAAAAACATTTAGGTGTTCTGTATTTATAAAACAGAATAATTTGTGGTAGGTCACTTGCCAGACCGTGATTTGTTTTCCCTCACATGGGTTAGTCAATTTAACAGTCTTCTTCTTGTTCTCTTGTGGGCCAGATCCTCACCTGGTATCAATTGGTGCAGCTCCATTGATGTTAATGCTTTACAGCAGTTTAGGATTTGGCCCTGAAAATCTGATTCTCTTCTCACTCCAGCTTGTGTAAAGCGGAAGTAACTCCACTGAAATCAGTGAGGTGTGAAACTGATGTAAGAAAGGAGAATTGGGCTCAGTGCTTGTAGTGCCAAATGATAGATTCTACTTGACACTGGGGCCCAACCCTTCATTCCTTGCCTTCTCAAAACTCCCATTGCTTCTGTTGTGTCAAGTGTCCTCTGAACACAGAGAGGGAAGAAGGGGGTGGCAGGTTTTTTCCTGGAGTGCAAGGTCATGGAATTAATGCAGTATTTAGGACTCTATTTAGAATAAACAGGGCATCCAATCTGTTTGGTTGAATCACATTTTTATATCCCTTTTAAATATCACCTTCTTTGCACAGAATTTGAAATAAGGTGCATAGCAAAAACACTAACTGTTCTGATATTTTTACTGAAATACAACATGAAAGTCATTTTCCTCTAAATGGGGGAAGTGCACTTTTATAGGCTTTAAGAGACTGTAGAGCATTCAGCTTGGACTGGGTCCATCTGGCTGGAATGCTGGATTTTGAAAATAACAAAACCAAAATATCTTGGCAGCCCCCATTTTTTTGCACACTGAATGTTAATTGTAAATGTTTACTCATTTAGTGTTTAATATTGTGGCTGGCCATAGGGATACAATGTCAGCATTTCTAGTTGCCTCTTGCTTCTTGCAAAAAGAAATAAACTCCAGAGTTATCTTCCTTTAAGCCTACTTTATTATTTATTTCTTTAAACTTCTTACATATTTATATTTACAGAATCGGGTGGAAAAGAAGAGAAGATAACAAGAAAAGACATAAAATATGAATATGTTTAGTCTTCCAGTCCAAAACCTCAAGCTACATTAACTCCTCTTTGAAACTGCATATTATTTTAAGAGTAGCCTTGGCAGAATTCAATTTTTATTTTTAAAATAATTTTGATGGACAAGATCAATGTTTATTTTTAAGCACATTTTTCAATTTTTATCAATTAAAATTTTCACCATTGTGGTACACTGGGAGGGGGAGGGTCAGACAAAAATTATTTAATGACAGTAGACATTGGAATTCAAAAAGTTAAAGCTTTATAACCATTACAACACAAACTGTCAACATCACATGCCAAAATATACAAAGTAAATATCCTGAAATGAAATTTTGTAAGTTCTCAAGCAGCATCTTTCTTTCTTTCTTTCTTTCTTTCTTTCTTTCTTTCTTCCTTCCTTCCTTCCTTCCTTCCCTACCTGTAAATTTCAATGATCCTCAATGGAATTGTTTCTCCATCAGTTTGTGTGCATATGGTGAAATCGACATTTACTGTCATTGACCATTAAAAGGCTAATCCTTCCAAGCCAATTTATGAGTAAACAGTACGGCAATGGTTTACAGAAGATAGATAGGAATATCATTCAGTTTTATATCTCAGTTCCAATTATTGTTACAGTGAGAAAAAAAGTGGGTGGAGGAGGGAATCGTGCATTCAACTTAGCACATGGCAGCAATAATGTTTTGGGTTTTTTAAAAAAGTACTGTACATCCCTAACGCCCACCTTCCAGATGGTAGTAATATCAAGGTAGATACAGTTTTACACCAAACAGCTTT